CGTCGTCGCCTTCGAACGGCATGGCGTCCGCCAGGAAGGCGTCGATCTCCGCGCCCGCGGCGGCGACCGCGGCGTCGATGTCGTCGTCCACCGCCGCCGCGTCCTCGTCCTGCTCTCGCTCGTACTGGTACAGCTCCTCCGCGGCTCGCGTCGCCTCCTCGACCGCGTTCGCGCTCGCGTTCGCGTTCGCGCTCGACCCCGCGTTCGAGGACGGCGAGAGCGTCATCGGCACGTCGGTGGATCCGCGCTCGGTGCCCGCGCCGGGGGAGCGCGGGTCTTCGCCGTCGCCCTCCTCCGCGTTCGACGCCGCCGCCGCCGGCGCGGCGGCGGCGGCGGCGTCCTCCTCCTCCGCGAGGAGTGAACGCTCCGCCGAGGCTGCATCGTCGCGATGGGGGGGGGGGGGACACGGGGTGGGAAGGAAGGGAGATCATCAGACGGGGGTTGGTCGGGGCTGGGCGCGCGGAGGTGGGCGCCGGCAGTGCCGAATCGGTCGACGGACGGACGACTGGACGCGCGGGGTGGGCGCGCGACGCACCCGCGTCCGCGGCGTCCTCGTCCGCGGCGGCGTCCTCCGCGGCGGCGTTCTCGTCCTCCGCCATCGCGCGGCCCGCGGTGAACGCCCTGCGTCCCGCCCGCCGGTCGCGTCCGCGCGCGACGGGGTCTAAAACAGGCTTTGACTCGCGCAACGGGTCGCGGTCGTCGAACAGCTTGCACTTCTCATCGGCTCGTCCGAGTCACCATCCATCCGTCCACAGAATCGCGCGCGCGGACGGAGGCCTCGGCAGCGACGACGACGCCGATGACGGACGACGTCTCGAAGCTCAAGGTCGCGGAGCTCAAGGAGAAGCTCAAGGACGCGGGGTTATCCACCGCGGGGCTGAAAGCTGAGCTCGCGGCGAGGCTGCGAGAGCACCTGGAGCGAGGCGGATCAGGCGCGGAGGATGTTATTAATGGTATCAACGCGAAGGACGACGTCGACGACGACGGCGGCGACGCCAAGACGACCGCCGACGCGGACGCGACCGACGCGTTCGCGGACGTCGCCGCCGCGGCGACGGCGACGGCGACGGCGACGGCGACGGCGACGGCGACGGCGAAGGACGACGGCGACGCCGTCGGCGACGCGTCGCCGGACGCGGACGTCGTCGCGGACGACGCGCCCGCGCCCGCGCCCGCGCCCGCGAATGCGAACGCGGCGGATGGGGAGAAGGACGACGACGACGTCTCTCGTCGACCCTGGAAGCCGCCGACGAAAGCCGCGGAGGAGGCAGACGACGAGGTCGACCACGAGGTCGACCACGAGCCGTCGCCGTCGCGCGAGGACGACGCCGCCGCCGCGGACGAGCCGCCGCCCGACGCGCGCGCGTCGACGGGGAAACGCGCGCGCGGGGACGACGACGACGAACGAGCGGACGCCGACGCCGACGCCGACGCGCGGGAAACTCGCCGGAAACTCGAACCGACCGCGCCGACGCGCGCGCTGCGCGTCGACGGCTTCGTCCGCCCGTTCACGTTCGCGCAGGTCAAAGCGCTCGCGACGTCGTTCGGCGAGCTCGACGGCGACGACGACGGCGACGGCGCCGCGTCCGGCTTCTGGATGGACCAGCCGAGAAAGACGCACGCGATAATCGTGTACTACTCGTCGACGTCCGCGATCGCCGCGCACGAGGCCCTGAACGGGATGACGTGGCCGGAAGAGACCGGGAGACCGCTCGTGCCGAGGTACCTGAGCGTCGAGGACGCGCGCGATATCGTGGAGGAGGGCGAGGCGACGAGGAGGAAGATGAGGGAATTGCGCGACGCGGCGGCGGCGGCGCCGAGACGTTTTGACGCGAGGAAAGAGTCGCGGTCGCCGCCGCGCGGGAGAGAGCGCGAGCGCGGGCTCGCGAATCTCGGGACGTCGTCGAGAGTGATCGGCGGCGCGGTGATGGACACGTGGCGGGAAGGAGACACGTGGCGGCAGGGCGGCGGCGTCGGACGCGCGAGAAAAGCGTGGCCGGGGGAGAACGACGCGAGAGATTCGAATCGCACGCGGTGGCGGCCGAGCGTGTCGTGGCGGCCGCTGTCCACGGAGGCGGTCAACGCGAAGCTTCGCGGGCTGGGGAAGCCGGAGTTAGATCCGAAGGCGCGGCGGAGGGACCTCCCGCCGGGGATGCAGACGCGATGGGTGTGATATCACAGACCACCCGACGCCGCGATAAATCAAATCAAATCTGTTGATACACTCCGCACTAGCTGGGGAAACGTACAAAAAAATGCAATTCGCGTTCTTCACTTCTCGCCGAGCGCGTCCTTCACGTTCTTCGCTATCCGCTCCCCGACGTCGACGTCCGTCGGCGGCGGCACGAACGTCTCCCCCGTGATCATCTCGTACAGCTTGATGTACCGCTGCGAGAGCTCCACGACGAGCTCCGCGGGCGCCTCCGGGATCGTCTCGTCTTTATACGGGTCGCACCGTTCCGAAAACCACAGCCTCAGAAACTCCTTGTCTATCATCGCCGGCTCCCGCCCGGCCGCGTGCCTCTCCGCGTACGAGTCCGCGAGCCAGTACCGCGACGAGTCCGGGGTGTTTATCTCGTCGATCAGACGGATCACGCCGTCGGCGTCTCTCCCGAACTCGTACTTCGTGTCCACGAGTATCAGCCCGCGATTCGCCGCGACGCCCTGCGCGTGCGAAAACACCGCGAGCGTCTTCTCGACGCAATAGTCCAGATCCTCCTTCCGCATCCATCCCTCCTTCACGATGTCCTCTAACGATATCGGTCGGTCGTGCTCCTTCTCCTTCGTCGTCGGCGTCACGATGTTCGCGGGAAGCTTTTGGTTCTTCACCATGCCGTCCGCCAACGCGTTGCCGCAGTAGTCTCTGCCGCCGGCGTTATAGTGCGTCCACAGCGACGTCGACGTGCTGCCGGTCATGTACCCTCGCACGACGAACTCGATCGGAAACACCTCGCACTTCTTCATGATCGTCACGTTTGGGTCCGGAGACGACAGCCACGCGTTCGGGACGATGTGCTTCGTGTTATCGAACCACCACGCGGAGGTTTGGTTGAGCACCGCGCCCTTGAACGGGATCGACGCGAGGTGGCGATCGAACGCGGACTGCCGGTCCGTCGTCACCGCGAGCATGAGTTCGTCGCGCACGTACGTGTCGCGGACTTTGCCCTCGTACTTGGTCCCGAACGCGAGGTTCGAGGACGTGACGCAGTTGTTCAGCGCGGCGGCCGCCGCGTCGGCGAATCTGCCGTCGGTGGAGGACTCCACGGACGCGGAGGAGGAGGAGGAGGATGCGCGCGGCGCGACCGCGACGCGCGCGGCGCGACGATCGCGGCGCGCGGCGGCGCGGAGCGGCGGCGGCGCGACGGCCGCGGGGGCGAGAAGCGCGGACGCCATCGTGGGCGCGGCGCGTTCGGCGGGAGGGGCGGGGTCGAGTGCGGCGACGATCGCGGCGGCGCCGGGCTCGGTGCTTTTCAAACTCGTCGTCGCGCGTCGTCGAGTAGATTTTTTTCAACTGCTGCGACTGCGAGCGCTCTCGATCGTCATCGCGCGCCTCGCGTCTCTCCCTTCAGAAGCTCCGTCTTGAACGGCTCCCTCCCCACCCTCTTCACGAACGCCTCCCGCGCCTCGCGCATCGCGCGCTTGCTCGCGACCGTGGGCTCTCCCCTCTGAACCTCCCTCCCGTCCTTCCCTCGCAGCCCCGACCCGACGGGAAGCGCGCGCGCGGGGAAAATCTCGTCGTCGTCGTCGCCGTCGTCGCCATCCGCCGCCGCCGCGAGCTTCGCGAACCGCGTCAAGCACTCGGTGACTAAACCCTCCACGTCCAGGGATACTCGCATGACGCCATCTTTCACGGCGAGGTCCATGGGGAGGTGGCAGTAGTATTCCACGTTAACGCTCGTCCAAGATGCGTTTTCTTCGCTCGCGTCGAACGTCACGACGACGCCGTTCGGGAAGCCGTCGGTGGCTTGGTAATGGATCGATCGATTCTCCATCTCCTCCGCGATGTGCGTCATGAACCATAACTCCTCGAGCTCGTGCGTTCTCGGATCCGCGAACTGGTACAGCTGCTTGCACTCGAAGCACCGCCCGTCCGGCGCGGGGCGAATCGCCGCCAACCCGGGGACGAACTTTCGAAGCGCGTCCGGGTCGCGCCACAGCCGGAAGCATCGCTCCGCCGACGCGTTCACGTCCACGCCGGCGACGAATTCGCTCACGACGTCCGCGTACTTCTTCCTCGCGGGCGCGTACGCCGCCTCGGACCACTTCGCGTGCTGCGCCCACCACTCGTCTTCACGCTGCCACTCCCAGAACTCGTCTGGGGACGCTTTCGCCATCGCCGCGCGCCAGCGACGGTCCTCCTCCGAGCGCGAGCCGCGAATCGCGCCGCGCTCCGCGAGCGCGAGGAGCCGTTCCTCCGCGCGCTCCGCGGGCGCGATCGCGTCGTTCGTCATCGCGCGGTGGCCCCACGCGACGCCGCCGTCGTCGTCGTCGGGCGGCGGGGAGACGCCCGCGGCGGTTCGGTGACGCGCCGCGCGCCGACGCGAGGCGGCGGGGGACCGCGTCGCGTCCGCCGATGATGAATAATCGCGTCGTCGCACCCCAACCCTAAGGCTTCTGATGGCGGTCGAGGTCGGGAACGCCGACGTCGACGCGCGCGTCATGACGGAAGAAGCGTTCGACGCGCGGGGGGGGGGGGAGGAAGAGGGGGGAGGACGCGGCGTTGGCCGCGCGCTGAAGTGAAGCGAGCGCGGCGGAGGTCGCGCGGGCGGAAGACGCGCGTGCGGGCGCCGACACGTTGTCATTTCCAACGCGGAGCGCGCCGCGCTTTTTCGCTTTCGCACTTTTTCGCATCGCATTGCTCTTACGAACGTTTTTCACCCGTCCCTCGGTTTCAACATTTGATCGCTCCCCCTATCAACTGACCGATGAACTTTTGTCAAAAGCTTAGTTCGACTTCTCCTCGCGTGGTAATAACGAACGAACTACACGACGCCCTACGCCGCCGCCGCGTCTTCTACTTCTTCTATCGCCGCCGGCCGCGCCTCCACGCGCGACTTCTCCCACAGCGCGCTCTCCACGCCGAGCTCTCTCAGCTCCGCGAGCCCAGCCTCCACCTCGAGCGCCTCCCTCGCGCCGTCGAATTTCCGCCCCGGCCCCGCGAGCGCCCTCGGCAGCCACCGCTCGCATCGCGCGTCCGCGAGCCCGGGCTCGAGCCCAGCCGCGCGCGCTCTGAGCCACAAGAAGCACAGCCACGCGCGGCGATACACCACCTCGCGCTCCTCCTCCGGCGAGAGCTGCAGCCACCCGTCGGCGTCGCCGAGGCCGCGATTCGCCGTCGACGTCGCGCCGCGATTCGACCCCCGCGGCGCCGCGCGTATCTCGCGCGCGGCGATCGCGCGCCGGCGGTCCGCGAGCGCGACCAGGACGCCCTCCTCGACGCGCATCGCGGTCATCGTTCGAAGCGCGGTCTCGATCTCGAGCGCGTCGGAGACGAGCTTCGGGGATCGGCCCTTGTGATGCGACGGCGGAGGGCCGAATGAGTTATTATCGACGCGCCGCGAAGCGCCAGCTGGCGCGCCGCCGCCCATCCCCCCGTCGCCGCCCGCCCGTGCCGCGCGCTCCACCGCCTCGTGCAGCGCGTCGTCGCCGCGCTTCGGCGCGCGCGCGCCCCACCGCGCCATCTCCCGCGACGCCACGTCGCTCGGCATAACGCCGAGCTCGGACGCGAGCCGCCAGTAGTGCGACAGCCACGCCGCCTTCAGCGACGCCTCGCAGCGTCGGTCCCCGACGAGCGCGCACGCCTCCAGCGCCTTCTCCATCTCGTTCGCTCTGCGCTCCGCGGCGGTCTGCCGATTTCGCGCGGCGTCGACCGCGCGGTTCGCCGCGAGGAGGACGTCCTCGCATCGCGCCTCCGCGGCTGCGAGTCTCGCGGCGGTTTCCGCAGCTTCGGACGCGCGCGCCTCGCGCGTCCTCGCCTCGGATTCGTCCAGCGCGGCTTCCATCGCCGCGCGGACGTTCGACGCGGCGAGGAGCTTTCGCCGCAGGTCCGCGATCGTCGCCGCCGGGTCGGGCGGGTCTTCCGCCGCGTCCGCGTCCGAGGAGGGGACGGTCGCGTCGTCCTCCGCTTCTCTCGTCGTCGTCGTCGTCGCCGCCGCCGCCGCCGCCGCCGCCTTCCCGTTCGCGCGCGCGCCGACGCCGACGCCGACGCCGTCCGTCGGCGATCCGCTCGAGGACGGCGCGGGCGGGACGTCGGCGTCAAGCGGGGTCGTCGTCGTCGGACGCGTCGACGGCGTCGTCGGCGTCGCGGCGACGCGACGCGGATGATGCTGGGGCCGAGGCTCGGCGAAGCGCGGGTCCTCGCGGACGTGCGTCGGCGCCGGCGGCGGCGCCGCGGTCATCCGCGCGAGCCTGCAAACGGCGGCGGATGGAGAGGCGGATGAAGGGGGCGGGGTCGGGAGGAGGAACGGCGGGGGCGGGGAGCGGGAGAGCGACGCGACGGCGACGCGAACGACGTGGAGGAAGGAATTAATTTCGCGCGCGCGGGAGAGAGACCGACGCGGGAGCGGACGCGTCGCGCACCTCGCCGCGAGCCCGGCGACCTTATTCACCTTCCCTCTCGTCGTGTTCGACATCCTCCTCGCGCGGTGGATCGCCGCGCGGCGCGGCGCGGAGTGACGCGCGAGGACGCGCGGCGACGACCCGATGACGCGACGACGAGCGACAGAATATTTTCGCCCGCCTGCGCCTGGTCGATCGAACTGAAAGATCTGAGACGCGGCGCGGGAGGTAACAACGCGGCGCGCGCAGGATGCCCGCGAGCGCGGCGCGCGCGTTCTTCGGAACGCCCCGCGCGCTCGCCACCTCGCATCGCCGCTCCGCGCTTAGACGCCTCCGACGCGACGACGGCGGTCCGCGATGCCGTCCGCCGCCCGTCGTCGCCTCGTCACCGTCCAACGACGACACGCGGAGAAAACCACCGCGACGCGTCGTCGTCATCGGCGGCGGCCTCGCCGGCCTCGGCGCGATGCATCACCTCAGCGCGCACTGCGAGGACGCGATCGTCACGCTCGTGGAGGCGAACCGCGAGCTCGGCGGGCGATGCGGCACCGTGAGCGCGATGCGCGGACTGTCGTTCGATCACGGAGCGTCCTACGTCTCCGCCAAGCCGAGCGATCCGAAGTGGAAGGCGTCGCCGTTCGCGCGCGCGCTGCGCGCCGCGGAGAAGGCGGGCGTCGCCGCGCGGTGGCGCGGCGACGTCGGCGTCGCGGACGCGGACGCGGCGACGTCGCGCGGCGATGACGTCGTGATGGACGAGGGATCCTTCGAGGCGTTTCCCCCGGAGAAGGAGCTCTTCGTCGGCGTCCCGACCATGGCGGCGTTGCCGCTCTTCATCGCGGAGACGCTCGCGCGCGCGACGAAACCGGAGGCGTCGCACCTGGGCGATAACGCCGCGGTGGGCGCGCCGGAGTACGCGACGAACGCGTTCGTGCAGACGCTCACGGAGCCGCAGTACCCCGGAGGGAGATGGAATCTCACCGCGCGCATTCGCGACGGAGGCGCGTTCATATTTACAGTGGTTCCCATACGACCCCGGTGGCGTGGTAAACGCCAATCCTTAAGGACTTTCGCCGTCATCTCTCTCCTCCCACCCCTCGGTTTCAATCCCCGCCCTCGATGCCTTTCAACTCCGCTTCTGACGCCTTTCGACTCCACCCCGACGTTCGCTCGTACGGACCCTCGACCCTCAGGGCACGTGTGGTACAAGTCGATCGACGCGGACATCGTGATCGTCGCGACGAGCGCGCCCGCGGCGGCGATCCTGATGCCGTGGCGCGGCCTCGGGAGCGTCGACGACGTCGAGGTGGACGACGAGACGTTCACGGGGATCGTGCAGGGCGCGGCGCACGGCGTCGAGGCGAACGCGTGCTGGACGTTGTGCGTCGCGTTCGAGAAGAGCTTAGGCGCGTTCTATCTCACACTGGTCCCCGTACGACCCCGTCGGCGTGGTGAACGCCGATCCTTAAGGACTTAATCTCCCGTCGTGTCTCTCCGCCCAGGGTCCCTCGCTTTCAATACCCGCCCTCGACGCCTTTCAACTTCAACTGACGCCTTTCAACTCCACCCCGACGTCGCTTTGTATGGACAATTACCCTCAGACGCGCCGTTCGACGGGGTGATGATGCGCGAGCGCCCCGAGGGAGGGTACGGGAAGATCGCGTGGTTCTGTAACAACAGCAGCAAGCCCGGGAGGAAGGGCGGCGGCGGCGGCGGCGGCGGGTGGGCGTACGCGGCGGATGACGACGCCGGCGGCGGCAGCGGCGACGACGGCGACGACGACGACGACGCGGCGGCTACCGAGCCGGAGTGTTGGGTCGTGCAGGGCTCGCCGACGTTCTGCCAGAACGTCCCCGCGGGCGCGGCGTCGCCGCGAGTCGCGGACGAGCTCCTCGACGCGTTCTTGACCTTGCTCGGGAAAGACGCCGACCGCAGGGCGTCGATCGAGGTGACGCACAAGAAGGCGGTGAAGTGGAAGCACGCCTATCCCGCGAATCCCACCGGGCGCGTGTACTTCGATCCCGAGACGGGCGTCGCCGCGTGCGGGGACTGGACGTTCGGGGGGAGGACGTCGGACGCGTACGACAGCGGCGTCGCGGTGGGGAAGGAGATATCGACGTATCTGGAGCTGTCGCGGGAGTTGTGAGCCGAGGGTGTTCGGCGGGCGGGCGCGGAGCGCAGAGACGAAGGCGAATGAAAGATGAGACGAGAGCGAGACGAGACGCGTACGCGTGCCGCTTTCTTCGATCGATCGTCCCGCGCGAGCTAGCCGCACTACGACAGCCATCTCTCCTCGCGTCCCCCGCGCTCGATCGCGTCACCCGAACACCACCTTCACGAAGATGACCAGGCTGTTCAACACGACCAGCGGCACTGCGACGGGAGTCGGGGGGGGGCGCGGGGCGGGCGGAAGGTCAGAGACGACGACGACGACGACGACGACGACGACGAGGCGCGGGCGGGGCGGGGCCGCGCGCGCGGCGAAGGACGGACGCGACGACGCGACGACGCACTTCGCATGTACGACGTCGCGGTTATCAACCCTATGAGCTGCCCCCTGGGCGACGTGCTGCTGACGTAGCCGGAGTGGATCCCGCTCTGCCCGAGTCCAACCTTCTCCAAGAATCGTCGCTCGTTCAGTATCGCGAACGCGTTCAGGACGAGAAGGACGGACTGCGTGAACGTCCACAGCGTCATGGCGGCGAGCGCGAGCGCGGCGGGGATCGAACCGGCGGCGGGGTGAACGCGCGCGCCGGGCCCGGTCTGGTGATCGCGCGACGACGCCCCCTCGCGCGGCGACGCGTCGTCTCCCGAGGCCGTTGGCGCGCGAGGGAAAAAGTGCGTGCGACAACGCAACGCAACGTCGCGAGCTCGCGAGTCGCGACCCGACTGCGCGACTCGGTCGAATCAGCGTCTCCGGCGCTCGAAGTGCGGGTCGAATTGATGAGAGTCGACCGCTGGCTCGATCGGGGAGTGGTTTGAAACTCGTCCATGATTTTTTGTCGTAGTACGGCCCGAAACGTACATTATTCTCTGACTGAATGCGCGTACGAACCCGAACGAATGGCCCACAGCAATTTGTTGAACGCGCTTTCGCTGAGCGCGCTTGGTTTTGTTTTTCCGTTTTACGATCGAACAAGGATCTATGAATCACGATCTGGCGCCCGCGGCCCGCTCACTTCGCCGGACGCCCTACGCGGGTCCGACCGAACCAACCCCCTCCCCCCCCCGCGCGCAGGATGCATCATCGCTCGGGATCGCAGACCGGCACGGGCGTGGAGGTCAACCGCCGCCCCACGGAGTACAAGACGGGCGAGATGGGCGCTATGGAGGAGGACGGCACGAGAAAAGTCGCGTTCATCACCGGCGTGACCGGCCAGGACGGGTCGTACCTCGTCGAGTTACTCCTCGCGAAGGGCTACGTCGTGCACGGGATCAAACGCCGATCGTCGTCGTACAACCACCCTCGCCTGGAGCACATCCTGAACGACGACGATTACCCGAACGGCGAGAACTTCCACCTGCACTACGGCGATCTGTGCGACCTCCACGCGCTCGTGGCCATCATGCGCGACGTGAGACCGACCGAGGTGTACAACCTCGCGGCGCAGTCGCACGTCCAGGTGTCGTTCCAGATGCCCATGTACACCGCGGAGGTGGACGGCGTCGGGACGTTCAACCTCCTCGAGGCGGTGCGACTCACCGGCCAGGAGGGCACCGCGAAGTTTTACCAGGCGTCGACGTCGGAGCTCTACGGCAAGGTGCGCGAGATTCCGCAGAGCGAGACGACGCCGTTTTACCCGCGGTCGCCGTACGCGGTCGCGAAGCTGATGGCGTACTGGGCGGTGGTTAACTACCGCGAGTCCTACGGTATGTTCGCGTGCAACGGCATCTTGTTCAACCACGAGTCCCCGAGACGCGGAGAGACGTTCGTGACGAGGAAGATCACGATGGCGGCGGCGAACATCAAAGCCGGGAAGCAGGAGTGCCTCTACCTCGGAAACATGGACGCGAAGCGCGATTGGGGCCACGCGCGCGATTACGTCGAGTGCATGTGGAAGATGCTGCAGCAAGACGAGCCGGACGATTACGTCGTCGCGACCGGGGAGACGTACACGGTGCGATCGTTCGTCGACCGCGCCTTCAAAGCCGCGGGCATGGAGCTCAAGTTTGAAGGCGAGGGCGTGAACGAAGTCGGGATCGAGATCGCGACGGGGAAGGTTCTCGTGCGCGTGCACGAGCGGTACTTCCGCCCCGCGGAGGTCGACCTCCTCATCGGCGACCCGACCAAGGCGAGGACGACGCTGAAGTGGAACCCGAACTCGACGTCGATCGACGCGCTCGTGCAGGAGATGGTCGAGAGCGACATCGCGCGCGTGAACAATCCGAGCCTGCGGTATTAAACATGTTCGTCGGCGTCGGTCGCCCGGGGCGCGGCGGCGACTGTTTGTTTGGTCTGATTTACGCCCACGATGCATACACTGTACTGTACGACGATGGATACGTTGTACGCGGCGGCGGACGGCGACGTCGGATCGGAAGGAGACGCGCGTCGGCGCGCGTGCGTTCGCCCTACGCGGGAACGCGCGCGCGCCGGACGATCGCTCGTTCGCGCTACGCGGGAACGAGCGTCGTCGTCGCGTCTTTCCGCTCCGCCGGCGGCGCCCGAGTCGTCGTTCATTCACATATTGATTGCTTCATATAAACATAACACGAGCGCGGCGCGATGTGATACGATATGATACGATATACTACGATATACTACTTCACGCGCTAAACCCGGTGACGGCGGCGAACGCGGTCAGCCACAGCGTGACCGGGGGTATCGCGAGCACGTACATCCGGAGCAACAACCCGGCGAGCCTCGGCGCCAAGTACCTCGTGTTCTCCTGTAAATTCGTGAGCAACACCAAGTTCTGCGCGGGCGGCATCGCGGCCATGGTGAGGACGACGATCGCGACGACCGGGTCGGCGGGGTACCACGGCGAGTTGGCCGCTTTCAGCGCGAGCGCGAAGAGCGTCATCGACGCCGGCAGGATGAAAAATCGAACCGCCGACGCGACGAGCAGCGCCCTCGCGTCGCTCGCGCCGAACGCGAACATCGCCTTCATCTTCGACAGCATCGATAACGTCTCCTCTCCGACCGTTTCTTTCAAAAGAGCAGCCTCCTCCGCCTCCACCTGCGCCCTGGACTTAAACTTCACGAACGACGACGCGAGCACGAGCGTCTGCCCGGGCAACGCGCCGGCGCCGATGAGCGTCGCGAGCTCGAACAGCGCCTTGGCGACGAGTGACGGGAGCGCCGCGATCGGGTGCAAGCCGCCGATCGCGGCGGCCGCGGTCTTCCCGATCAAGAACCCTTTCAAGGGCGTGACCCCTATCAGCACCCCGAGGAAGATGCCGACCAGCGGCGGGTTGACGCACTCTTTCGCGATCAATTTGATCGTCTCGCGCGCGCCGCCTTTTCTTTCGTCTCCGCCTCCGCCCGCGCCGCCGCCGCCGCCGCCGCCGCTCGCGCCGGAGAGGTACAAGTACCCGACCGTCCACAGCGCGGGGGACCACCCGATCAAATACAGCGCGATGTACCCCGCGACCCTATCCCCGAACGACGCGCCGAGGACCTCGACGACGAACAGCAGAGGCAGCGTGAACGTGTTTCCGAAAGCCGCGCACGCGACCCCCACGCGCGTCATCGGATCCATCTCAGCCTTCGCGCTATCCGTCGTCGTCGTCGCCGCCGCCGCCGCGTCGTCGTCGCCGCCGCCGCCGCCTCCTCCCGCGGGCCCCCAGATCGCGTCGAACGCGGACGTCAGCGCGACGCCGACCACGCCGCCGAACAGCACGCTCGTCACCGCGCTCGCCGGCAGCGCGGCTGAGGGTCGTTCCATACGCAGCGACGTCGGGGTGGAGTTGAAAGGCGTCAGAAGCGGAGTTGAAAGGCGTCGAGGGCGGGGATTGAACGCGAGGGACCCTGGGCGGAGAGATGCGCCGGGAAAATTCCTTAAGGATCGGCGTTCACCACGCCGACGCGGTCGTATGGGGACCAGTGTGAGATAGAACGCACCTAATCCGAGCGTCAGCGGGGTCGAGTGGAGCGTCATCGCGACGCGCGTGCAGAGGTAGCACGGCAGCATGACGTTAAACGCGAGCTTGGAGAGGACCACCGGGGTCTCTCTCGGGAGGACGTTCGCGCGCATGAGCCTGCCGATGATGGCGCACAGGGCGACGACCTTGAACGTCGCGAGCGTGCACGCCGCGGCGACGCCGGGATCGAACGCGACGCCGTTCGCGAGGAGAGAGCCGAGGCTGGGAGCGTCGGGCGGCGGCGCCGGCGCGGCGGCGGCGGCGACGACGCGGCGTGCTGCGCGACGGCGGCGGCGGCGGACGTCCGCGGCGAGGGACGACGAGGACGACGACGACGACGACGACGACGACGACGACGATGTCACCCGCCTCGCGTCGTCGACTTCGACCGCATCGGACGGATCGCGTCGTCGTCCTCGCGCGAGCGGACGAGGAAACGCCGCCGCCGCGGTCGCTCCCGCCGCGCGGAGAGCCGCGCGACGCGCCGGTAGCGCGCGCGCGGGCGCGAGCCACGTCGTCGTCGCCGCCGGCGTCATCGAAGTGGACGGCGCGATGGCGGACTGTCGGAGGCTACAGTACCGTTGATGAGCGCTTTCTGTGTCATCACGCGAGGACGAACAGAACTCGCGCGATCGGCGCAAATGTGTAGATCGGACATCGATGAAATTAACTCGTCGTTGACGAGTTAATCGGGCGCCTGATCGCCCCGCCGCGAGCGCGAGCGGATCGATCTCCTCAAGATCTTTCGTTGTCCACAGCAGGTGTCGTCGTCGTCCGTCCCCCGCGCCGCGCGGCCGCCACTCGTCGCGCCGCCGAGACCACGCACGCATCATGGCCGCCATGACCTCCAAGCTCACCACGTGCGTCGCCCCCGCCGACTCCGCGCGCCGCGACGGAGTCGTCGTCGTCGTCGTCGTCGTCGTCGCGCCGCGTCGCGTCGCGTCGTCGCTCGTTCGCGATCCGAGCCCGCCGAAGATTCGTTCACTCCTTTTCCTCGCCGCTGACCGACGATCGATCCGCCCCCCTCCGTCCGTCCGTCCGTCCGTCCGTCGCAGGCGCGTCGTCGCGGCGCCGAAGCGCGCGACGTCCTCCTCCTCCTCCTCCTCCTCCCGCCGCGCGACCGTCGCCGTCCGCGCGTCCGCGTCTCCGCTCAAGAGCGCGGTCGCGTCCGTCTCGACCGCGTCCGCGACCGCCGCGATCGCGTTCCTCGCCTCCGCGTCCCCCGCGATGGCCGCCTCGCAGACGGACGAGACGATCGCGTTCTTGAAGGCGTTCTGGGAGTTCCGAACCGCGGACCCGGCGTCGTTCATCGCGTACACCGTCCTCCCGATCGCGGTGCCCTACGCGGTGTTCAAGGTGCTCTGCGATCGGAAATCCGAACGCAGACGCGCGGAGCTCGCCGCGGGGGGCTGGGACGCGTTCATGGCGGAGAGAGGGCTTCCGATAGACGTGCTGTCCTTGCCGCAGCTGAACGCGTTCGCGGCCGCCGCGGAGAAAGATCTTCTGGACGACGAGATGGTGCGGGAGTTTGTCCGACAGAAGGAGATCAGCGAGTTGTGGCAGAAGTCCACCATCAACGTCGAGGACCCGCGCATGGAAAACGCGAAGCAACGCGCGCGCGCGGAGAAGATTCTCGCGTTGCGCGAGGAGAAGGCGAACGCGGGGGGGAACTGAGCGCGAGACGAGACCTCGGGCGGGGTGAAAGTAACGGCTTCACCCGAACCGTTTCGGTTTCGGTTTCGGTTTCGTTCGCGACGCGACGGACGCGACGACGACGCGATCGACCGCGCGCGCAGAGCGCGAAGGCGAAAGAGAAAGACCAAAACCTCTCATCGTATATCATCATACAGTATGCGTACTCGTAGTACCCACTACTCGCTCTTCTTCTCGTCACCGCCCCACCGTCCGCTCCGCGTCATCTCCTCCCTGAACGTCTTCGCGTCGAAGTCGTGATACCCCGGCCGCGCCATCGCCGCGCGGAACGTCTTCTCCGTGTGCCCGCTTACCTCTGAGGGCCGTTCCATACAAAGCGATGTCGGGGTGGAGTTCACAGGCGTCAGAAGCGGAGTTGAAAGGCGTCGAGGTGTGTCGGGATTGAAAGCGAGGGACCCTGGGCGGAGAGATGCGCCGGGAAAAGTCCTTAAGGATCGGCGTTCACCACGCGAACGGGGTCGTATGGGGACCAGTGTATAGAACGCGCCCGAGTCCGCGTCCGGCCCGTCGACGCCGCCGCGACGCGAGTACTCCGCCTCAAACCGCGCGAGTTCCTCCTCGCTGACGCGGTCCCCGCGCCCGCCGCCGACGCCGGGGTAGTCCGTCTTCTTCCTGTAGTACTGATACGCCGCGACGGCGAGCATCGCCATCGCGAACAGCGGGTTGCCCCACAGCGTCCCGCCGCCCGCTTCAGCCGCGCGGTCCCTGAGGGCCGTTCCATACAAAAACAGTTCTCCGGTCAGTTGAAAGGGGACGCGATTAAATGTTGAAACCGGGCGACGGGTGAAAAACTTTTGTACAGAACGCACCTGACGAATAAATCGCTCTCGTACGACGCGACGAGGCCGTCGGGGAACGCGACGACGACCAGCCGACCGCGGTTGCTCGCGACTAGCCCGGGACCGAGCGCGGGCGCGCCGCCGTCGTCGTCGCCGTCGCCGTCGTCCGACCCGGACCCGGACCCGGACCCGGACCCGCCGGCGAGGTCCCGCCCGAACATCCGCGCGAGCGACGGCAGGTCCGACCCGACGGCGTCCCTCGGGTGGGTCCTCCGACCCGTCGACGTGACGTTCACCGCGGCGACGTCCGTCGCGGTCGCGATGAACGCGTAGCCCTTGATCGTCGCGACCGCGACGGCGGCGCCGTCGACGCTCGCGCCGCCGCCGCGCCAGACGTCGAGGCCCGTCAGAGCGCGTTCGCCCCGTCGCTCGCACGCGACCCTGCCGGGCTCCGCGGTCATCCACCCGGAGACTAAGCTCCCGCGCTCGGAGACGGCGTAGAACTTCGCGGTCGCGACGACGTCAAACTTCGCGCGCAGCAGCGCGGAGGAGGAGGAGGCGTCTCCGTCGCCGTCGCCGTCGCCGTCGCCGTCGCCGTCGCGGTGGAACCCTCGCGCGTCGTCGCACGTCGTCGACCAGCGGTCCAACGTGATCGGATCAACCGCCACCGCGCGCGTCGACGTGAGCCACGAGATGACCTTCCTGCCGCCCTGCTTGAACGCGACGACGCGCTCGTCGCCGCGTTCCGGGGGGAACACCGCGTGCAGGGCGCCGTCGTGGGCTTTGTACACGACGACGGCGCCGTCCGCGCGCGACGCGGCGACGAACGAGACCGCGCCGAATCGATACGTCTCCACGCGCGTCACCGCCCTCCCGTCGCCGCGCGTCGTCCTCCCCCTCGGGACCGGCGCGTTGGCGTCCTCGTCCTCCTCCTCGCCAGCGGGCGCGGCATCGGAAGAAGAATACGAAGCGGCGCGGCGTTTCGCGTTCGCGTTCGCGTCCACGCCCGCGGCCGCGGCCGCCGCGGGCGTCGCGGAGGACGCGTCCGCCGTCGCGAATATCTCCGACGACAACGCGTTGAGCTGATCCGACACCAACGGGTCGTCCCTGTGCACGCTCTCGCGCACGCGATGAAACACGACGCGACCGTCCGCGTGACCGGAGACGACCAGCGTCTCGTTCCGTCTGACCGGCATCGTCGCGATGGACGTCACGGCCGCGTTCGAAGCCGACGACTCGAGCATCAGGTCGCCGTCCGGGCGAAACGCGAAGAGCTTCCCTTTCGAGTCCCCCGCGACGAAGTACCGCGCGATCTTGTTCTCGCCGCGCTGCGGCATGATCCCGAGCGCGGTGACGTCGCCGTCCACCTGCACCGCGGACATCAAGCGCATGCGGTCGTGCCACGCGTCGCGGCGTTTCGCGACGGTGGCGCCGCCGGTCGACGCGTCTCGGCGGCGGTACAGCGGCGCCTTCGAATCCGAATTCGTCCTCCTCCGCGCGCCGCGGCCGCGGTCGCGGTCGCCGCTCGGCGCTTCCGCGCCGCACGTGCGCCGCGGCGTCGCGGCCGACGCCGCCTCCTCCTCCGCGGCGGCGTCCGCGGCGGCGGCGTCGCGCGCGACCCCCGGCTTCGCCGCGAGCTTCCGCATCGCCCACACCGCCTTAAACTGCGCCTCCATCACGTCCTCCATGGCGCGCATCGCTTCGCGCGTCTTCATCAGCGTCGCCTCGATCGCGTCGAGCTGCGCGTGCATCGCGGCCGCGGGCGCGTCTGCGAGAGGAGGGTGGGGGGGGGGGGGAGGTCGGAGGAG